GTTTGAGTCCCAAGCTTTTGCTTTGTGTGCATTTTTATTGTCCCCTAGCTATTTAGAATTATTAAAACAGAAAAATATGATTTAAAAACATAAACATTTTTTGTATAATATTGAAAATAAAACTTCAAAACGGACAACCAATCTAAAACCAGTGTCTTCAGCATTAGGATGAAGGATGCGGGAAGTTTTATGCATGATGCATATTTTTTAGAAATCTAAATTTAGGAGAGTACAAGCTTCAATGTGTCACAGTCTGTGTCTTTTCTGCTTTAGTTTTCTAGTGTTTCAGTATTTCCCTGTGTGTTCCTCCAGCCCCGCCCCTGCTCACCTGATTCCACCTGTGTCTCCTCCAGATGTTTTTTTGTTGTCTCATTAAGTTCTCCCTTTATATTCTGTGTCCTGTCTTCAGTGTTTGTCTGATCATTATGCTGTTTTCAGCTGGTGTGGTGTCTTCATGTTCCTCGTGTACTCCAGAGCAGGGTTATTACAGTCAACTAAAATTATAACTGAAACCGTATAATCTTTTTACAAAACTAACTAAAACTAAGTGAAAATATAGATAGAAAATCCTTAGTTTTAGTGTTTGTCAATTTGTTTTAAGCCGTATGGACTTATTAAACAAATCTTTTTTTTTTCTTCAAACCTAGCAGTTTCACATTAGCTGTGAGCATCTTCTAGCACCTCATGGCCCGGAACATCATTTGTTTACCATTTGCTGCTGCTCAGCGCTAGCCTGCAAAATGACAACAAAAACTGGAAGAAAGCARCAAATGGCTGAATACAGTRTCAGCCTTTTAAAGTTAGCTGTGGCAGCTATCCTGAATTTTTGACTAGCTTAGAAATAGGAAAGATTGTTTTTGGCTACTTCTACACTAACCTTCAGCGTTTGWGTGTCTAAAAAGGCCGAATAATACGTTGAGACTACCATTCAGGATGTTTTTTGGATCACACAAAAAACAACTTAATCACCCCTGTGCCACCACTTGAAAAAGGTAGCTTTGTCCTTGGTCTGGTCCACTGAATGGCCTTAAGTCTTTGTGGTATGTCTACAATGCATCATCTGTGTCTGATGACCTTTGATTGACTGACTGTCAGATGCTCCAGCAACTGCATAAAAACACCATCACTCCATGTATGACGTGCCCATTGGTGCCGTTGTAGACGTGTTACACTCAAGTTGGGATCATTCCTTCGTGACAGTGAGTGTGCCTATTGAGACACTTTATTCTTGGAAGACAGTGAAGAAAGACTTCCTATAAGAGACACGCGTTTAAAATAATCAGCTACGACGTGAACCAGAAATCAAAGCAACCACACAAACCACAACATGTACATATAAAAGGGTGAACCTTACAGAAAACACAAAAACTTTTCCAGAACAAGATAAGCTTTTTTTTTTTTTTTGTCAAAAATTATAACACATACTTTCCATTTGAAAATCTTAAAAGCTTCTTGACGATGTGTGTGTGCGTCAGGTTTCTGTTGCAGGTGTGTCTGGTGTGGGTCAGTCAGCACCTTTAGGTGTGAGGATGTGTGTTTTGCGTTACAGGCAAGGCGGCATGCCACTTCAAAGGACCGTGAACTGTATGTCACCGCCTCAGCTGAGAAGTCTCCCTCCTCCACCCCTGCATGTTAAAGACAGCACTCAACACTGACACACTGCTGACACGTTCCAAACTGGAACGATGAACTTAACACTTCTTTTTGACCTTTGTGAAAACAATTTGTACCGTTTGTGCCGTTTCCTTCAATAGTGAAAACTGTGTGATAGTCAGATTTTGAGAAAAACAATACTTCAAGTCTCAAGCTATGAGTTTTATGTTTCTTGCCCCAAATCATCATTCCAGACAGCACTCTAAAAATGAAATGTTGGATTTACTTAACCATGTTATGTTACCTGGTTCCACTTAACTGAGTTGAGCAAATTCAAAGCAACATACTCATGTTCTTTGGTTAAAAAACTGGTATATTGCTTTGAATTTACTCAACTCAGTTAGGTGGAACCAGGTAACATAACATGGTTAAATAAATCCAAAATTTTATTTTTTTACAGTGAGAAAAGTGGGGCTTTTACTGATTTGTTGAGAATCAGACTGGGTGGGTGTCCTGTGGTTTAAATTTCAGGGGTAGAACCTCCACTGTGTTACTACAGGGACTCCCCTGCAGCCCCTTTCACCCCCTTTCTTTCTGACTTTGCAGGTGTATCTGACAGAAATGACTGAGTTTAGTCACACTCAAAGCTGGAAGCTCAAAACCTAGTTAGCCTTTACCTGAAGAGAAACTAGCCTGCACGCTGGCGGGAAACGTGTTCTAAACACCCCGGTGTTGGCAAATGTGTGCATTGACTCAATGCCTCTGTGTTGTTTTGTTATGTAAATGCGTATATTCCAGGAGTCACTCATGCTAGAAGGGATGATACTAAGTCTGTCACGGKTTGAGTCTGTGCACCCCATGTCAAAGTTACAAATGCAAAGTTACAAATACCAAACAAACACCAGATTCATAACGGGAGATCGGCTTCAAATAAAAGCTGATCATTCAAGTAATTTACTGTTTTCAAGTTTCTATTTTGCCCCCTTAAGTTCTTCAATAGCCTTTTGTTTTGGGTCTGTTTTTTTAATCTGTAAAAACATTTTTTTAATAAATTTGTCATCTAAATAAAACTGACAATTAAACCCATCTTGACTGCATTTGACAAAGAACGATTTTCTTTATAGTTTAAAGCTCTTTCTCCACAGCATAAAAACAAATATAAAAGCAAACTGTCTCGGTGTACTATAAATTATTTTAGTCAGGATGAAAAGACAAAATTTGTTTTCCCATATTTTTTTTATTCCAAAGCTGAAGCAGTCAAAAGTACGGCAGGTGGAGCTGAGGAGACTCAAAGATGAGTACAGACAAACACATCTGTGCTTCTACTACAAAAATGTGACAAGAGGGGGAAAAAAGTCACAAACATTCAATTAACATTTTCACTGTGAGATTATTATTTTGTGTGTGTGTGTGTGTGTGTGTGTGATGCAGATGATGTGATTGTGATTTTACAAACTGGACCAAATCAAGCTTTTCCTATGATCCCAAGTGAGCTGGGACGTGTCCGACCCATGGACAAAACTAAGTAAGATGAAAAATCGAAGCCCAAAAATGAAAATAAATAACATTTCCTGTGAGTGAGATGAAAGGTTGCTGGTGGTATGTCAGACTCTGCACAGTCTTCATTTCCTTTCAGTACTGTAAGAACTGCATTGGACCAGGTTATATGAAGCAGAGGCTCCTGAATGTTGGGCTGGTGCAACCTACAGAAACTTCAAGTGCCCAATCTGCACTACACATGTGGTGCTACTGCTTACAAAATACACACACGCACACACACACACACACGCACGCACGCACGCACGCACACCCTTACTGTTGCTTGAGAGCCCCCGCCCCGAAACAATTAAATTCAGGGAAAAAAAAAAAAAAACAAGAACAAAATTAGCATTTCAGGCTGACAAACATCTGCATAGCACTAACCTGAAAACTAATACATCCTTTTTTATATTCTGAAAGGTAACAATGGTAAAAACATGAACCAAAAATGGAAAAGGGTTAAAAGCCACTTGCCGATTAGCAATACTCTGTATGGCCTGTGCTAAAATGTTCATAAAATCTATGAAAAAATACAGTTTCATCTGCCTCCGACTCTCCCATAAGCTACAAAGCAAGAGAAAAAAAACAGTTTTTGGGATTTTAAAACAGCCTTTTTTGCTCTGCCCTAAAACTATTTACCWGAAAATTAAAACAAGCATAGATTTAGGTAGGTGGGGTGCGCTGTTTGAGTGGTACAGGGTCCTTGTGAGAGGCCTCAACTCAACATTCATAAACAAAGTGGACCTAAAAGACACTCCCTGGTCAAATCTCAGAAATCGGTCTATTTTCAGCTACAGTCAGGGACAAAGTCTTTACATTCCACTTGTCAGTTCAAAATACATCTGCTTGCTTTACATGAACAACAAGAAAAAAAACTTCCCTTGTTTCTAATTTTTGGGATTTTAGCCATGTGATGACATTCACAGGTTAGGGGGCTGAAACTAGAGTAGGGCAGTGGACTAAGAACTACTGCTAATGCTAAGGCTTTCATGTTTTGTTCCAACATTCAAGCCCCTCTGAGTACACACCCTGATACCTTCTGGATTTCGTAATCTCAAAACTGGTGTAAAAACACACAAAAAAATCGACTCATTCTGCCAGAGCAAAATGAGCTTTTTTTAAAATGGTACAGTAACAAAAACAAACACAAATACAAAACAATAGAATTTGCCAAGGAGGGGAAAAAAAACACTGAAAAAAAATCCATGCAATTCGACGTGTCGACAAATTATTGCTTCCTTTTCACAACTTGTGTTTGTGCATGCAAGCGTGCATCTTTCAGTGGGCAGCAGACTTCGGGTCTTGCGTGGTATTATTGGCTTTCTTCCTTCTTTTTGTTAGCAGTGGATTGGTCGAGTCTTCAATGGTCTTGATTTTGATTTGCTCGTAGTCGACTCTCATTGTTGCCAAGGCACTGGTCATTTCCTCCTGAGAAATAAAAAAAAACAAAAAAACAAGACATTAGGAAGGTTGCTTTACTCGTTTGATCTCGAGGATTTTGACATGATTAAAAATATTAATAAATAAATAAAGTTTTTAACATTTCGGTCAGTCATTTAAAGCTGCAATAATCAAGTCTAAAACCCTGGAGGACCTGTCCACCCCAGAACGATACAAATGAAAATGATGAC